GAGATTATTCAGCGAAGAAGAATGATTCTCCGTCGTCGGAGGAGGAGGCGGCGGCGGCGATGAAGAAATGTAGTCGATGGCGGAGCTTCCGAAAGCATCCGGCAACGTGGGCGGCGGCGGTGGAGAAGACATCGAAGCGTAGGGTCTAGAGAGAGAGAGAGAGAGAGAGAGAAATGAAGCTGGTCTGCAAAATTAATCTTCTCCCCTTATATTTATATTTAATTAAATTCCGAAATTTGAGAAGATATTAGTGGTATGGTATAAGTTTTTTTTTTTTTTAAGGAAAATAAGTGGTATCGTATAAGTCTGTGTAATTGTACCTTCGACTTTTAATCTGAGTTTTTTTTCTCTTTCTTTTGACAACTTTAATCTGAGTAATTATTCTCTTAAATTCGTAAAACCTATGTAACAGAATTCGGCTGTATTTTAGATTAAGATTTTTAATTAATTAAATTATGTTTAAGTTGTAATATAGTTAAATTTAACAGCTTTATAAGTTTGAAGGTAATATCTCATATTGAACTATTGAGAGTACTTAAAGTTGTAATTTAGAGGTAACCTTTGTATTTTTCTTYAAAATTTATATCGTTCTCTYTAAAGCTCTCTTTTATGAGTGTTTGAGCCAACTTATTTCAYACCATAGTTGTCTGACTCTAAGCACATACTTTTTTTATCAATACTTTTTCTTTTAATTATATTCTATATATTTATTTAAATTTATCAATTTATTCTTAATATAAATATGCACGTGACATTTTAATATATCGCATTGATATTATTGTATACATATAAAAGATACGATCGAACATCAAAATTTCATTATTCCAACTATGAAGTTGAGAGTTCGAATCTCTACCCCCACATGTTGTACTAAAAAAAAWYMWTWWTWWTTWAMCMAAMSRAWWAAAAAAATGTATCCTATAAATTATATGTTATAGGTGGAGGRCTCTGACCTCTGATCGAAGTAAGTAATATTTTACCTCGTTAAATTATGCTCGTGTTACACTATATATCTTAGGAAAAAAAGAATCAACATATTATAAGTTGTCATAACGAATATAGYTTACTAATAATTGATATATATCTAAATGGATTGAATCATCCACCTCACATGTTGTACTAAAGGAAAAAAAAACATTATATATTACTTTTAAAAATTACAAACTCATTCAATTAAATACACGTAGGTTTCTAAAACTCATGTTACGTATGATCCGACTAAACGCGCCGTTTTAATTCATTTTTTGGCCTGTTTGGGGGGTAGCATTGAATGTGGTTAATTTAATTATACACCTGCCAATGTACATTATTTTTAAATTAAATAAATAAATGTGGGTGAGAAGAGTAAATGCGCCCCTGTGCTTACAACCGTGCGATCACTGCGATGCCCAAATCGGATGGAAAATTAAAAATAAACTACTGCTCTGTGTGGGGCCCACCTTACTCAACTGGGTCCCACAATCTCCACTATCGGATGTAATCATCACACGTTGGTCGTTCGACACGTCGGCAGTTATCGTCTCCTTGCCGTACACATCCCCGCACTCAATATCTCTTTGCCGTTAATTTTTTTCCATTGTAGTTTAAAGAAAAACAAATTAAAAGCGCAAAAATAGAAAAATAATGCAATCAATCAAATTATAAACTACATTTGTGAATTATGAATATAGTTGAATTGGTCCAGTCATCTATCAGTGAGGAAAAAATTATGCATTCAAATTCTCAGTTTCATGCTTTCTAAAAATATTAATTTTCTAAAAATAATTAAGATTGTCTTTTTAACACTTTTTCAAATTTATACATTTGTTGTCTCTTTAATGATTAGAGATATATGTCAATTATTGCTGAATTATGCTCGCTTTGACTGTTTGATAACATTATCATTTATTGTTTCTTGTTTATCAATTATAGTTTTTTTTAGTAATATTAGTGTTCGATAACTATTCACGTTTCACGTTTCTCGATTTTAAAAAACATTTCAAAAAATGTGCATAAACATTGGAAAAAAATTCAAGTTCCCTTTGTTTATGTTTCTAAACTATCCAAGTTCCCTTTGTTTATGTTTCTAAACTATTCCAACACATAAACTTAAAAGACATTATTTTATAACTTCAATCAAAAGGTCGTGAGTTTGAATCTCCTTCCCAACATGTTGTACTGAAAAAAAAGACATTATTTTATCATTATTTACTTTTGAAATGCATGATAAATATTAAAAATAAATAAAAGATAATTTTTTTGATATTTAATTTAAAAAGTTAATTTTCATATAAAAAACCTAATTTTCTGATTTGAAATTGCAGACATTGAGAACCAATGATTTTTGTTTACTCAATAAACAGTAAATAGTTACTAGATACATTTTTATGTTTTTTATAATATAAAATAATAAATTAAAAGCAAAATTATGAGATTTAATGTTAAAGTGGACAATATCATATTAATAAAGATTAGATGGTGGTCATTTCTCCTTAACGAGCAGTAACAGAGTTATACCTTGAACTTAGCCATGTAGGTAGAATCCTCTACCAAATAAAATAGCGAGCCTCGAGAAATTGGTTGAACTATCCGATAGGTAGTATGCTTCAACAAAGAGGAGGGACGTTTGGTGTTAAAGGCAACGTACTAATAGTAAGACAAAGAAGATGACTATTTGAAAGGATGTTCAGTGATACTTAATATGACCAAAGTCTCATATTGGTTAAATAAGATATAGTTCGTGGTATACAAATCATGAACAACATCTTCATGAAAATGATGCATTTTACGTAACAAAAAAATGAAGTCACACTAACTTATGTCCAAAGTAGAGAATACCATATATTACGTTGATGTACATTATCAATAATATTATCGAATAGACTTTTAAAGGTTACTTATCATGCAGTAGACTTTGATGCATAATTGTATCCTAAGATGCGAAGATATAGTTTATGTGTTACACGAAAATGAAGTGGCATTGATTGGACCTTAGGTAATGATTAATTATCCGAAAGAAATAATTTATAATAAAGTATTAATGTGGATATCCACGATCCTCCTCCTCATTCTGTTAAATTAGTATAAAATTAAACCATAACCTCATCATTACTTCTGAGGAAAATAAATTAAAAAAAAAAAAAGAAATGGAATTTTTGACAGATCAAAAATGTTATTTTGTTTCCCAATCCCACGCATTTGGGATTCTGTGCATTTCATTGCTTCATTGACACTCCTCGCATGTCTCCCTTTCCTTACCTTAAACTATAGTCTATAACCATCTCCTCTCTCTCGAATTATTTTTAATTCTTAAACTAATTTTTACATTTGTTTGTTTTTTCAACTTGCTCTATAACTTTTTAAATCTTTTATTTTTGTCTTTTTTATGTATTTCTTTGCAAAATTATATTGGTTGACAAAAATTAGTTGCTCAAAAAAAATTGTAAATATGATAAATTGTTTCTTCTATCGATTATAAAAAATATATAAAAATTTCACTATTATATTTTATTTATGCGATCAAATATATCACTAATATGTTAATTTTTTTTATCATTAAGAGAGTATAACACTAATATACTTAATATAGAAATATATAGTACATTGTTGACATAAAGAGTTCTTATTTATGCTAACTGTGTTATTGTTGTGTAAAATATTTTATTATTATTTTTAAATAAATTATGTGTTTTGTTGAGGAGCAAAACTTATATCTCAATATAAATTTACATACCAAACCTATCTTATAATTTCTTATATTATATAAATTAAAATTCGTGAGTTCTAAATTTAATTATGTATAATGAAAAGAAATGGAGAGATCTTTTTACAACTTTCATAGGCTTTTGGCCAAATATATGGGAAAATTTTGACTTCAAACATTTTTCTAACCTAATTAATTTTAAGTATTTGGGTTTAAAAGTCAAAACAAACAATATCCATTAGTTCACCAAGATCAATGTTTATCATATTGGAGATGAGTGGAATGGGAGTTCACCCAAGAGTTTTTTTATTTAATTTTTTTTTTTGCCTCAATCTCTATCATTTATTTTAGATTTATGACGTCATTTTTTTAATTAGTCAACTTGATTTACCTGATCTCCAAGTCTAAAACTCAAAACATTTAATTAGTCTTAATAAATTTTGAATTCAATTACATTGTTAAAATCCCTATTGGTAATTAATGGAAAAAAAATTGAAGTGGTCTATTTTTCGTAGATACAACAACTCATAACATAAAAGAGGACAATATATGGATGACCAAATTTATAGACAAAAATTATTTCCCTAAAAAATTTTGCGATCTTTTTTTGGTTTTTATCGTTGATGTATTAAAAAAATTAGATTTTCGTAAAAAAATGAATAAATTGAAATTTATCAAAATTATTGTTTTATTAATCTATTTGGATATATGAACATGCCACTTAACAAAAAAAATGGATTTTGTTAATTGATGGGTCAAATTTTACTATAAAAGGATTTGATTTTAGGTGTAAAAGCAGTATTCAAATAGTATGTTTACTTGTCCAAATATGTCAATAAAACAATAATTCAATGATCTATTTACTTTATGTCAACAAAATTCTTATCAAACGAGTAAATTTGAGAATTTTAAAATACTAAGGGTCAAATGAAATATTAGGGACAATATTGTAGGGTATATCTGGGCAAAATTAAACTATAACATATGAATCTGAAATTTATTACCAATGTATAATATAAGTTATTAAGAGCATGGGGCATTCATTATAACACCAATTGGTTGTTGCAAAAAATAAAAGCATAAGGTAGGTAGTTCCCCTAGGCTATAACACAACATATCCCTGATTCCATGTCTCATCAAATTTATTAGTACTGTGCTGCTTTAATATGCAATTTACTTTCTTTTTCTTTTTCCTGCCTTTTCAAAATTTGTCGTGGTCCTAAAAAAGAATACTTCTTCTTTCTTTTAATTCAACAATATAGGATGGATATTCGAACATGATGGGAATATATGCCTAATTTTTTCGAGATAATTTAATTATATGTTTCATTAATGAGTTAGAAATACCGTGTATTTTCATTTGATGAAATAGATACATTTATCCATTGAATTCAAAGTCTAATTCATGGTAACTTTCCTAACCGATCAAAATAACTGGTTGGTATAGAAAATTGAGTCGTAAAAAATACTATTATACTAACAGCTAACTACCTCGTACAAATGATTAATCTAAACATAACTTTGTGGTTAAGGTATGGTTTGTTTTACTCCTGAACTCAGCCTTTTTTGTTGTGATGTTATATAAATATCATTAAAATAATAATATATATTTTTTTTTTGTGAATTAAAATGATATTATTTTGAAATGTATATCATCAACACATATAGCCTATTTATACATTTTCAGCATGAACCCAATAGGCCCAGAGAGAGCTCTTTATGGGCCCAATTGTATAGCATTTCTAGGCCCAAAAGCCCCATAAATCAAATTCCTAATGGGCCCAAAAAAATAGCGGCTTCAAAGCCCATCATAATAGTGGCTTTGATCCACTTTCCTTTCGGGAATTCCTCCATTTTCTGAGCTTCCAAACAGCTTCAGCCGAACCCTCTCACTTCTCCTTCTCCATCTCTCTCCGACCTTGCGAGAGCCGAGCGACCCCCTACAGTCTCCGCCATGTTCCGACGAGCTTCAAGCCTTTTGGCCCGCCCTCTTCGCTCTGCCAGGGCCAGATCCTTCTCCACCGATCTGCCGGCGGCTTCCTCCCCCGACGAGGCCTTTGTCGAGACATGGAAGAAGATGATCCCTAATATTGATCCTCCCAAAACTCCGCTCTCCTTCATGGCTCCTCGTCCCGCTACGCCTTCTTCCATTCCTACTAAGCTCACTGTCAACTTCGTGCTTCCCTATGCCTCGGAGCTCTCGTCCAAAGAGGTCAGTGTCGGAAATTCGCTTTCCAGTTGATTCTTTTTTTCCTTTTTCGGGAGAGGTGTTGAATCTTGTGCGTGAGTTTTCTGCATTTGATTTGATTATAATGTGAATTTTTAAATTTTTGCGCTTGTATTGACTCTTGAATTTCCCTGATTTTTGGTACCAATTTTGATATTATTGTTTCTTCATCGATTGATGTGAACCTTGTAATAAATGAAATCTAGTGTTTAGTTAAAATAATAGACGTAAATGAGCGTTTCAAATCCACAGATACAAATGTAGAACTGGAAATGGATTTTATCCAACTGAGGTCGCAGGAAGTCTGTTTATTGTATTCTCTGCTCTCGATATGATATAACAATTCCTTTACTTAGTCAATGCAGTTCATAGATTTGATGTTCTTGTATTGTTTTTTGTTTTAAATTTGATATTTGGCATTCATTTCCTTATACTATTTGATTACACTGGAGGATGTGTGTTGTGTTCTCTTTCCTATTCATTGGCATGGTGATGCTCAGATCAGATCATGTCAATTCTGTAAATTTCATGTTCATTGCTTATGGTTTTTGGAGCTGCTATGGATTGTTCATATGCACTAAAAAGAACTGCTAAATCTGCCCGTCAGGTTATATTCTCAAAGCTGTAAATTTGGGCTTGTAGTATCCCCAATGCTATTATATCAGCAACGCCAAGAATTAGACCAAGTTGTATCTAATTAAGGTGGCGTTTTCATGCAAATTCATGTTATCGCCAATTCTTTTAAAGTTTATATTTCTTTCATCTCTACCGGTGCCTCTTGTTTTCTAAATTCCTAGCCAGTTCTTTGGTGCCGTTATGGACATTTTAATCCTCTAATGGATGCTTACATATTCTGACAAGAACCCTATGTTTATTAATGACTTCTATTTTTCATTTTTTGGGTGAAGAAACATTATACTAGAGAAAGAACATGTATGACGGAGATCAAAATCAAAGGGAGAACATCTTAATGGGTTGTGGTGGTCAATAATGACCGGTGTAAATACTAAATGTCTTAGAGGGAATGAGTTCAAACTATGAAAAAAATTATCTACCAAGGATTTAATATCTCTATGAGTTACCTTGGCAACCAAATATTGTAGGGTCAAGTGTTGGTCCTGTGAGAATAATCGAGGTGTCCACAAGTCTGCAAATATCCCACAAAAAAATCAAAGGGAGAACAAATATAAAAGAGATTGCAGACCTCCGATTAGTTTGAATAGAATAACTACAAAAGAATTTAGAGGGAAATTTTCATCTAGAGACTAGAAATCAAATCATACCAACTAATCTGTTTTCCAATTTTTCCAATAAGATTCTTTGGTTTTTCTCAATACACATCTTCCAACCCCAAGAAGCAGTAAATGCTTCAAAGTTGATGCTTCCAAAATTTATTAGGACTATAGTATACACTCAGTGGATGAATTGTTCATTTACCTTCTCTTACTGATGAGAGGCTGTGTTTGACTTACTCTCAAATTAAACTTTATTTCTTCTATTTAGTATAACTGCTAGAAATACATGGAAGCAGAGTCTAATGGGTCATACTCCTGGGAAGCACAAAAACGGCCAAATACACCCATGCTTTGGGCTCATTTATCACAGATATTCATCGTTCTTTAAAACTATTTTTTTCTCCTCCGTTCTCAACAGGTTGACATGGTAATAATTCCAGCGACAACTGGGCAAATGGGTGTTCTCCCTGGTCATGTAGCTACAATTGCAGAATTGAAGCCAGGGGTTCTATCAGTTCACGAGGGGAGTGATGTGAAAAAGTACTTCGTGAGCAGTGGTTTTGCATTCGTTCATGGCAACTCGTTTACTGACATAATTGCTGTCGAAGCTGTGCCTGTAGATCAAATTGACGCTAGCCAAGTACAGAAGGGTCTTGCCGAATTCACCCAGAAGTTGAGCTCTGCCTCAACAGACTTGGAGAAAGCAGAGGCCCAAATCGGAGTCGACGTGCACAGTGCCCTGAATTCCGCCCTTACAGGATAGTTTCCTCGGCTTCAGTTGATCTATTTCCAATTGTATGTTCCTTCATAATCTGCCTCATTTGACAGTTTGAGTTGTCTTCTCTGGTCGAAATACCCACTGGAACATCATCTCGGGCTTACTATTTTCTGTGTTGAATTTGAAGTGATTCACAAATAAATACTTAGGATGGTTTTTTTGCTTGGCCTTCAGTAGTTGGTCATAATCTGGTGCCACCAATCCCAAAAACATAGAAGAATTTCATTTGAATTTGTATGGCTGATTCAATTCAAATCATCATGTCATTTGATATCAATGGAAAAAAGGTAAAAATATTCGTCCACCTTCTGAATCGATTGGAAGAATCCAGATTTCCATTTATATATATTCCCCTTCTTTTGACAGGGCCAAGGCAATATTGGAAATTCTGTAGGCTGTTCAACGATTTGGTTTGGTTCTCGTTAATTTAGTCCTTGATTTAGTTCTTCATCGTCAAAATTAAATGTTTATTTTTATTATATTGCGGTTTACTCTTTCTAATTTATATACACATTTGATTCTTAACCAATTAATCAATCTATGTATTTAAAAAATTTTATCAAGTCTTAGACAATATTTTTTAAAATTTTGAACTCGAACTAAATTTTTACTAGTATGATATGGAGAATTTGTTCTATTAACAAAAAATTAGAAGTTCCTTCTTCTCTTACGGTTGGAGGTTTGATCTTCTATATGCTCAAATTAAATTGGTACGATATATGACTAGTCAAATGATTGCATCTTACTAACTTGATGATTTAGTTTTTTATTACAACTTTAAAAAATGAAACTATGCCCGCCGAAAACAGTGTATCATCGGAAATAATAATAAAATGAGAAAATATAAAAATATAAAAATAAATTGTACATCTAAAATAGTTATGAAAAGAAAGGGCCGGGCCGTAAGACGAGGATGTCAGTTGGGCTTTTATTGGGCTCTGCTGTGGATCCGGAACCAGGCTTCCTGTTGGGTATATTGGACCACTTTGACCCAATAATTACGTGGGCAACATGGAGCCCAACATGGTCCAGAATACATGTTGTTCGAAACGCATAAATGAAAAAATATATTTAATAAAACAAGATTTATTAGAAACCGAAAGGGAGTAATCAAAATTTTAAAAATAAAAAATAAATAAAAGAGGAAGAAACAGAGAATTTGATGAGTTCCAACAAACTGTGATGTTGACTTTTAAGTTTTTTTTTTCCCTTTTTTAATAGTAGGCGTGAGAATACAAACCCAAAATCTTTTAATATAAAATATTTGAATTTTTAAGTTGATGCATGTTTATTCCTACCTAATATTGGTGGTCCTTATTTTTTTACCTTTCGACATGTTAAAATCAAGTTACCATAAATTAACTTCCTAAGCAATCTTTTTATATTAAAATTTTATTTTAAAGGCAAAATAAAATATTAACCGAAATTTCCAAATAGAACATTAAATTTTATAGTCAAATAGAAAGTTAATCTAAAAAAAGCTTTCAGCTTCTATCAGATTGCTTTATACTCTTTCTATCTTTTCAAAAAGAAAAATACAATTTAAAAAAAAAAATACCACAATTATTATATGAATAAAAAATACCACATACTTAAAAAAAATAACAAATAAAACTAGTTGTCGAGACATTAAAATATAAATGCCCTTTACCAATCAAACCCCACCTGTCGTGTTGCTTTTATTTCTCTCTTTATTATCTTTTTTTATTCAAACTTTATTGGGAATTGTAATGTAAATGTCCGTATCACAAACCTACACGTGGACAAAAATTATTCATCGGAATTTTAAAAAATTACCACATTGACTTCAAAACATAATTTTTTGATTTAAAAATAATTTTTCGTTTTCCAAACTCACATGAAATAGGATCCTCTCGATCTCATCCCCAAGCTCTTCCACTCATTTTTCAAATGAGAGTCGGAGACCAATAAAGAATATTAATAAATAATTGTTTGTATTTAAATACATTTAATAATTTACACTTGAATTATTTATTGGTCCATCGAGTTCTATCGTGGCGCGATATCCACCGTCGATCTGCGGCTTTACGGAACCCCGGAATCTGCATGTCCAGCCGTTTCGAATCATCGCCACGTAGCACGTGCAGTTACGTACGCTGGAGCGTCTGTTTGAGTCGCACGTGTAACGGGCAGATAAAGGTAAGGACTGCTGCTGCCCGGAAGGATGCGGGCAGAGGCCGTGGGCCCGGAGGACAATGACCTAGGAAATAGAGCCAGCAGGGATATGCGTCAGGTGGGCCCCGCTGAATCGCTGGCTTTTTGTCGTCTTCCTCGGTTGCCTTTTGGGTCCCACCACCCAGTCAGCTCCAAAGCCTCTTTTGGAATCAAGTTCCCACTTTTACCTTTTTGCCCCTTCAGCAACCCCTTTTTACATATTTGCCCCTACATAAACCAATTATGTTGTTTCGGTACCTATTATGTGGGCCCCACCGTCAATATGGAACTGTTGAATACCATGAAAAACCGCTCCAGATCAAGTGATGAATATTTTTTATAAATTAATTAATAAAATTTTTTATATTTTTAAATAAGTTAAAAATATTAATATTAATATATTAAGTATATATTAGTTGCATTTTATTAATATTATTTTTTTTATAATACGACGAAAATGTCGAATTATTCCTTAGGTTGATGTGGAATTCATTGATATATGAAAATATTGGTGGACATATCGTCATGTCGACGATTATTTAATACCATGATTATAATTACATTTGAGATTCGGGGCACCGCTCATAGTTACACTTTTTCTCGAGGGATGACGCTTTCATAATTTATGGACCATTCAAGGATAAAGTTTAGAAAATATGATGAAGTTTCTTGTGTTTGCAATAAGAACCCTGACTTTATGCTTAATACCTCTTCTTGCCCACATTTTATGTGTATTTACCGTTATTCCATTGATTCGTGATATTGACAGCATGATTTGATAAGATTTTACCTCAATATTTTATTGAATTTATTCACATTAAAAGACCAAAATGGTTTCAAAGTCTAACCCTTTTTAAAAGGCAAATCATTCGAAGAATTATATAAAATATATGCAATTTGAGGGTTCGCTATATTAATTATTAATTATGATATGATATGTCTTTACAGATAATAAGGAAAAAGTAAAAGTATCAGATATGTGTTACGGTAAAAACAAAAAGGTCAATTTATTAACAAAAAAATAATAATTTACTTATACAATATTATCCATAGATATTTACGAGGTTAATTGTTCATGCAATTTGGATGTAAAATGACATCTTTAGTCGTGAAATTGTATAAAATATACTGTGAAAAATGTGGTTAATTTAAATATCTAACATGTTTTTTTATTTTTTTAATGTAACATCACTATCCCTGTACTAATAAATATTAACTCGTAAGAGATACCATTATTTCTTATACTTGCTCAACAAAACAAAAAATTAAAAATTAAAAATAGGTTTCAATATAACAAAATAATAATTACATAAATATTCCTACATTTAAATACAAAATTTTTTGCCCAATCAATTATCAAAGAGCGGTGGAGAAAAAAAAATTAAAACGAACATAACTCAGTAATAATTGAGATATATTTTCAACAAAGAGGAGAGTGTGAGTTAGATCTCTCAACCCCACATGTCATGGTTGTCATTTATTTAATATATTCAAATTCATACCAATTTACCATCAAATGTGCTATTTATTTATTTGTTTCTATTTAATATAATAAATTGAGTTCAACGAGTTCATAAATTTAATAATTAATCTAAATGTTTGTTTATTTATTTATTTTTTAGTACAATAAATAAAGATCGAAGATTCGAACTCCTGATCGTAGATAAATACCAATTACCACTTAACTAATAAATATTTATTTTCTTTTATTCACATTTAAGCT